TTTGCCATGGCTTCTTCCTTGCGTATTCGGTGTATCTAAGTTCTCTCAAACCTGCCGTAAAAACGGTGAAAGCTGCATGGAGTATTGATAAGGAAACAAAGATTTCTGATAGACTATCCGCCGAATGCTTCTGTATAAATGAGGTAGTACTTGAGATGTGAAAGTTTAGATGGAAATCTCTTAGCCAACGAGATAAATATCTTCATAGATGGCGGTAATTGAAGATTTTCTTAGTTCTGTTTCTGCACACTTTGGTGACTATGCCAAAATGCACTTTGCGACGAAAAGTGTTCTCGTAGTGACTTAAGTGGTGTCATATCGCTAAGTGATATGCATGTCGCTAAATCCATGACAAATGACAAAATTGCTTGGTAAGTCAAAACCCAGTATGAGTTGTTAAAAGCCTTGAAATGCAGGTTATTCGAATGATATTCTTGGCTAACATGAGTAAGGCATTTTGCATTGAGCATAAGTAAAGTACCATATCAGAGACAATCCAGCATGATTATCCCCTCTGTTCTAAGCATCTCTCTACTCGTCATATGTAGTAATGGATGTACAAGTTTTTGTTAAAAAGTGGTAGCAAAGCAGAAGATTCGGGGTGAGCATACGGCTTTCATCTCAGTTGCAACACCGTTGTCCAAATCTCTATTCTCCGACAGATCTGCGAAAATACGTCGGGAATTATGCGAAGGAAGTTTGTCTTCTACGTAGTTCTGAAAAAGTCTGATGCTACAGTAATTCGATCGAAGCGGTAAAGAGTGCTGCAGGAATATAGGGTGTATGACCGGACAATGGGCTGCCATATCTTTATATGACTACCTGTAGATGTGCCCGGTTTAATGAAAGGAAGACGATGCCTTTCACCGTTCGTGTTGGCTTTCATCAAGTATATGTGGTTTCTCCTCTCCGGTTCATGACTTTTATGGTTTGTATCAGTGGTCACGTCACCGTTGGGGAAGTTCGATTGGATCGTTCGTTGCTAGCGGATGATCTTGCATACCTGCTTCGTCAAATAAAGGTCTAGCGTTTACTTGATTTCTTCTCTGCTATATGCAATGACGCAGGAGAGAAAATTTGCACGACCGAAACCAAGCAATTTTGCCATCGAGAAAGGTCAGTCTGTGCGCTCTGAGAGTGTAACAGTAAATAAGTGTCTAGGGATGGTATTCATTAAAGGTGGCTGGCTTCTTATAACTTTGCCTCGAGGACGACATCAAGGCAAGCATTCCACATGGATCGAATGAATGCTTACATACTTCACTCTTTGTGTCAGTTTTAGCGAGATCTTCCCATCTTGTTCAAGTTCTTCCCGACGGGGGTCCACCTGCCATCAAGCTTTGAATTTAGCCGTGTTGCTCTTTGGTTGACAATGGTCCCATCATTTTAAACTCCTTGTTTGCATCCCGTCAGCCAGATTAGTTGTACCCCTTCACTCCTAATGTCGATCTTATAACCTTTATTTCTGTCGCTTCCAGTTTTGTGTTTTCAGCTTTGTTATAACTGCTTCCGTCTCCAAGCCATATACCAAGATGTTCAGAATACAGGCCCTGTATATCAACAGCTTTGTGCTATTGCCAACATCATTTGCTTGCCGCTAACGCCAACACATAGCGCCCATTAGCTTTGTTTCTTGTTCGTCCGTCTGCAGCCTATATACTTCCAAAATGCAGGTGTTCTTGTACCTGTTCCACAACTTCTGTACTGTGTTTGGTTTGGGTTCTACCAGTTTCCATTCACTTTGTCTTTAGCGTAATCGAGGAACCTAGATCAAACCGTTTTTTACAGAGCTTGGAAGAGCGATGTTGCAGAAAAGCTGAGTTGTCGTTAAGCAACAGGATATCATCCGCAAATGCAAGAGAGTTTACGTAGATGTTGCCCACTCATAACGTGGCTCTGCTCTTTCATATTGGCTGCAACACCCAACCAAGAAAAATTGCAAACAGCAGTGGAAATTCCATTTTTCCTTGCCTTGCCCTAAACCTTGTACGAAAGAATTTGCCGAACCTGCCAAGCCATCAGTTGGTACATCTGTTTAATTATGCGAAGAATCGTTAGTAACTTTTTGTACTGTTCACTAACTTTCCACAAGGCATTTTTCAAGATTGAGTCCAACGCTTTGGCGAAATTGAAGAGTATTTCAAAAAATTTGAATCTCCATTCTCTGTTCTTTTCCATCAGCTGTCTCATTGCAAATATCTGGTCGAAATATTCTATGCTTGCCCTCAATACAGGCTGTGCTTCACCTAAGAACTCGCTTTGTTGTATAATCCCATTAACCATAGCGCGCATGAACGCAGAGCCGAACAACAACTTTTCTTGAATACTGCATCCACGTCGTATCTTTTATCTACGTATCTTTTATCTAGTCACTCGAGATCTCTTTTTGCCATACGAATCCAGGGAGATTAACTAACTCCAGCATTCGGTTTATTCCAGATTTTTAAATTACCTAAGGTTGTATTTTTTCAGTATCTACAGCTCTGCCATCTTTCAGTCTGCTTAGTGCATCAGTCACTTCTTCAGTGATCGGCAGCCATCTTTTATTAAGGTATAATACCATATAATCAATACTGGATCATGATTGTATCAGAGTTTAGTAGCGATTCAAAGTGTTTTATCATATTTCAGTGATATATCCCTCATATCCTTCTCCATCTGTAGGATCAGAAGTGATATTGCCGTCATCTTTCATAACGGATGTTTTGCGAGACTTATTTTTGTCGAAGTAGCAATGGTCTTTCCTGAACAAGGTTTTCATACCATTTTTTTCAGAGCTTCATCTTCCATCATTTCTGCTGGTTTCTTCCAGAAAGTGGTTTATATTTCCTTATGATTTTTAAATTGTTTTCAGTATCTTTACGCTAAAACTCTTTTCGTTATCATTCTTGGTAAGCCTGCTCGTTTCTTGAAGCCGTTAGTTAAAATTTGTACATTACTTCCCTCGTCTTCTCCTACGTCTCAATTGCTCTTCCATAGATTGCTTCCTTACACATATTCCAAGCTTTTTCCACCGATATATCGTTTGTATAATTAATGAAAAGTTTGTCTTCCATCGATCGTGATCTGCTGTGCTTGGGATATTTCCGAATATTTAAGCTTGTCGATTTCGACCTTGCGGTAAATTTTTTGGCTGCTAGTCAAGGATCGCAGCTTAATTTTAACTTTAACCATCATTAACTCATGGTCGCTTTCGCATGCAGCACTTCTGTACACGCTGATGCCTACTAGGCACACTCGATGATTTCTGGTGATGAGAATGTGGTCTCTTTTATTTCCCATATGATCTTCTGCACTGATCTGTGAGGAAACCATGTGCCGCCAACAAGTAGATTGTGCATGTCATACAATTTTGCTAGTCGTTCACCGTTATCATTCATCTCGTACCGTGGAGTCCAATGTATGTATAAGTTCATTCTTTGTTCCCACTTTTGCAATGAAATCATTCAGACAATCAAGATATAACGGTGCTGGCACTGTTGCAGTAGCAGGCTCATTGTGGCATAAAATGTTGTCTCTGCTACATCTGCAGTAGCTTCGGCATGGGTATAACAACCAACCACCGTGATTCCAAGTCATTTACACATTACGTGATCTTTGCCATAAGTACTCGGTCGGATACCGCGTTCCATTATACAGGGGCTCCTGCCTTTCTGATCACTGACAGTGCAACAATATCCTCATGAATAGTACCTCCTGTTGTATTACCTCTGCAATAGCTGCTATAATTTTCAGCGGTGACAGTGCTTGTTTCGAACCAGTCCATCCCTTCTAATGCAGCTATGTGTATTTACATACTGTTGTTTTGCAACCACTGTAGTCTGTTCAGGTGTGTTTAACGTTCGTTCGCACATTCAACGTAACAAACCGTGACTAAAGTTTAGTACTGAGGTATGAAAAGTATTTAGCACTGAGGTGGCAGGCAGGGCTCAAAAAACACTAGTCTGCCAGACAATCGCAGTAATGCGGGAGCTAAACCGGACAGTGATAATGAAGAAAGAACTGATCCATGGTGCAACACTATCTCTCTTTGTGGCTGTGTATTCGTCTTCCCAAACCTATGTTCAAAAATCGTAAATATTAACGGAATAGTGTTATCTTGCATACAAGCGGTAGAAATTAGGTCTCTTCGATGGCTCGCTGGTTTGATGAGATTGGGAAAAGTCAAAGTCTGTGTCATAGCAGTTAGAAGCACCCTCAGTTATGAGCCGTTCCGTCATCAGACCAGGATTTCACTTTCAAAATTTTACACATGTAACGAGAATGTACTTCGAAATAAAATCAAGGAAACTGTGTTGCCAGAATCACTGGGAAGAGGGCCTGCTGTCATATCGTTGGTCAGATAATGCGATTGCATTGAAGACTTTATTATTGCTTTTTATTATCCTTGATTTTGACAGCATAAGGCGTCTGTTTGGCGGCGAGCCGAAGCAAGTGTTCGTCTGACCGGAAATAAATTACAGGTTTAAAAAATGCATGAATTAATTTCTGTACATAGTGTTAGACTAATTGACTAACGTTTGATACATGAGGTCTAAAAGGAATATTCTTAGTAGGAGTCGTGATGGAAGCTCATTCTGCGTTGACGAATATAGTAGTATGTAAAAAAACGTTTACGTAAACTACAGACTACTTCTACGCTTATAATATATTGACTTCTGATAAATATCTTGGAAATGCTTTCTTAACACGAATGTTTGATTTGACATTAATTGCAGCAAACAAGCAAAAAAAAGACAGCTACCAGCTAACCGCGGCAAACTTAAATAAGAGAAAAGCGTTATTCGCCAGCACAAATTAACAGTGCTAAATATTATGAGCAAAATACCGTTGATGTTTAGTGGTGTAAATTGCCTACAATGTTTCCGCCTTAAGTTGCCTGAATTTTTTTTCAGAACTGGGGATCGTTTCATTGCGATGACGCTAAAGAAAGTCGTTCAATTTTAGGGTAGGGCCGTTTCGATTTAACGTTTCCTTCCTTTCTGCAAACATATTTTGTTATGGGGTTAACTAAACAATACCTGCGGTATGCACCGATCGGTACTTGTAATTTAGTCGCATCGCCCGGCACTTCTATCGCTTACCTCGACGACAAACACTGCGTGGTTGGAGCAGCAGAGAATGTCTACGTCTGGAATCTTGCAAAGTCTGAAAAGGTATTCATGCGAGACTTTTTGGAATTTTTCAGTCATAACTGTGCGTGTTGTAAAATGCTGTAAGTTTTGAATCATTGTTTTTTAATTTGTCTGCTAGTGAGCTGCGAATACATATTTAGATGGTACTTCCAATATATTTTGGTTTCTTACAGAATTTGTGAAGTGGTCATTCTGTGGTTTCATTTTCCAGGAAATTTTTATGCATTTGTAGTGTCCCTGTTGATACCTGATTCCGTGTAAAGGTGAATTGTTTCGAGGTGGTGTTTACACTACTTTCTTCATCTCAGGTGGTATAGCACTTTATGGATCCGTTTTTCTGCTGTCTTACTCCCTTGGCTCATTAGCTCGCTCAGTTGCAAATCAACATCAAGATGACTTTCGTCCGCATCTCCAAGCTGTACCAAAAGAATCTCTTTGTAGGTGGGCGAATTTGCTGCTGCCGACCATTCCCGAGCAACGATCGTCAAAGTCAGCCGTTTGCGTCGGCATCTCGCAGTCGGATATGCGAATGGAACAATCAATATATTTGACCCCAACGACCGGTCGACTGCTCGAGTGACGTTTGTTGGCCACAGGTCTGAAGTCACTTGTTTGGCGTTTAGCGCGGACGATCTCTTGATATGCTCTGGAGGGAAGGTACGATAATCGTATGCATGTTTCTGCAGATTTTGATCTTTCATTTTGCATTTTAGTGTCTGAGCGACCTTCGCTTTGAATGTTACACTGATACAGTAGAGGGCTTGTGTGTATTCGTGACCATGAAGATATTTTCTCCGGATTTCATGTCCTTATTGCGATCTGACTGGTGTTAAAATCATCATTAATGAAGTTGTGATGTTTCTGTCCATCCTCATGCAGTTCTTCTATTTCTTCATAAGAATCTCTAATAATCTCTTCATCGGGATGGCATGCTGTCGGCGCATGTACTTGTATCAGCTCGAGTTCATGTCTCTTTGAAACTCTCAGAACCGGTCTGTCACTGATAGCGTCAGTAGATGCGTATGGGCTGCACATCCCAGTTTTCGTTGCCAGTATATGCAAGGACTCCTTTATCAGCAAACCTAATTTAGATTGGTTTTTGTCTATAGCAGACGCATTGGTCTGAATGAAAGAGTGTCCTTCATTAATCACATGCTGGGCAGTAACAGAATTGTCACCCTGTCCAAGGCGGGCCGCAGCATGGTGATCTTTTATACGGATGTTCAATTTCCGATTGGTCTTTCCAACGTGAATCTGGTTACAGTCTCCGCACTTAACTTCGTAGACTAGATATTAAGCTTGCGACGTAAGTGAATTTCGCATATTCAGCAGTCGAGTCCATAATAAAATAACGGGATAAGTTTTTGGAGTTAATGAGCTTGCTTAAAAATTGTTTGAGATATATATTTGTTAGTTAGAATAGCGTTTGAGCGCTTTCGTCATTTTATGTTCAGAACTCGCGAGACTTATTCCAGAAAGGTTGCATGTACATCGCTGACACTCTTAAATGCAGTCCCACGCGTAGCTTCCACAGGTTTAAGTTTTAGTAATTATACGTTATAACTGTCCTGTTAATTTTTTTTCATGCATAAGTGATATTTTTATAGTCTCTGTGAATCTGATTACTGCTTCTGACGTTCTTGTCATGTTTCAGGACTGCGCGGTAATCATATGGGACATTGTTAACGAAGCCGGCCTGTACCGTTTGATTGGACACAGTGGCCCGGTCACAGAGTGCTATTTTGCCAGACATGACGTGCTTATAACCAGGTGCTATACGTTTTAATTTTTTTTGCCAAGATTGATGAATCATATATTTAGCTCGAAGGACTCGTTATTGAAATTCTGGGATTTGAGTTGCCAACACTGTTTTTACACGTTGTCCGTTAGCAGGTCAGAGGTAAGCGTTTGCTTTTATTTAGATGGACCTTCGAGCAGTCCAAATCTACTTGGTAGCCCCTATATTCATCCGACGACTTCGAGGCCAGCGGCAGTCTAACTCGCTTTACCCATGCAGAAAGCAAGTTTTAGGTTTGCCGGACAAATCATTTTGTCCAAGAGGTTTTCTGCTGCACAGCTAGTATTTTGAGTTGCTCTTGTAACGACTAAGTTGGATTATCTCAGGGTATCAGTTGAACATGTTCCCCATTGTTTCATTTGATTTTACTTTAAAGCCTTCTTGTATCTATTTTACATGGATGATTTTTGCCATATTCTGTGCGACTTATTGCATAGGATGTATTCCCTTTAAATAGGAACTCTCAGTTATAATTATGATATATTATTTACATGGTGAATATTTTTTAAGGTGTGGTGTTTCATCTGCGCGAAGGAAGACCAGTTTCTTTTAGTTGGTACCGCGGAAAGTGAATTGTATGCCTATCGTATTCAGTGGCTGGTCTCTGAAGATGAGGTTGAACTGCGTTTGATTACCAGTCTTGACAACGAATCGGATTCTCTGATTTTAGGTGCCAGTTGTCATGTCAGACAAGAAAAGGCGGAGGCTAGCCGCGGATCCGACGAACGAAGACGTCGATGATTCACAGTCCAGTGTGAGTTAGCCTACATTGTGGTTTTTCGTAGAGTGTGAATGCTGGAGTGGCGACTGTCATTGTTGTTGACTTTTCTCTTTCTGTTAGACGGGAAAATTCAGTTCGGAACTCACATTTAACTTTAATTCACTTCGATGTAGCTGACTTAGTAACAATTGACATCACTGATTCAGAAAGCATACGAATTGACCAGACGTGTTATCATGCATTCTTCACTTATTAGTCTTGATAATGACCCCCAACTTTCCATTCCGGTTTAATCTCTGTTGCTTAAACAGTCTCTCTGACTGAATCCTCGAATAAGTGTCGACTCTGAATGCTGTTATCATGGCAGTTAACCGTTTCTGAGTTTGTGACTCGTCTTTACTGGAAGGAAAATTCAGTCAGTCATGCTTCACCCTGGAATGCGATCTTTCAGATTTGCCGTTGCGAAAACCTCTGCAGCGTGATCATATAGGTTGCATTTGTGATGAGCTTTTGTTTAAGTTTATCATGTTTATTTACTCTATGCAAGCAGTGGTGAAGATGCCGGTTGTGCTGTTTCTAAAGGTTTACAAGAGTTTCATATTAATGCTGAACAGATCGATCCCGAAAGAAGGGATGGGCGTAGCGACTCTTTCTTAGAGTTTTTCATAGGGTGCTGTCTTCATTTAAAGCCTAGAACTCAGTTTGACTGAATATTCTGGTTTAGTCTAGGCATCTGGGCATCATCTAACTCTCATAGGGTAGTTGGCGTGGTGCGTTCTTTTCTCGTTAGGCATATATACGAATGTTGATACTCTGTCCGGTCCAATTTGTAGTTAGTTCGCATTAGTATCCGTCTGTTAGGCAAATTTATGTTAAAGGCATGTCGAAGCCTAGTAACCTCGAAAAAGCACTATTTAGTTAACAGATTATATCAAAATTTATGGCTGGTGAGTGCTGTTCCTACCGAAGAGAATATGTACAAGTTATACTTAGAGCTGCTTGACTTTGTTGACGCTTTTCCAAAGCATAACATTTTGGTGGTAGTGAATGACTGAAGATGATGAATGTAATGATGCAAACATCAAAATACTGTTCACTTTTGACGAGAATAATACTCTCCACAGGCTGGACGAAATGAACGTATGAACGGGTAAAAGTTAAATGTCTTGATCTTGACCAATCGTCTGGCAGTAACGGTTCCGTTGTTCTAGAACCACCATTAAAGGAGTTATGTTTGCCTTGAACCAGAATTACCGTTCACCAGAACGGTGGTGATAACAACATTTTGGTAAAATCTAAACAGAAGACAAGAATCTTGAATTGCAGACTTATTCAGATGAAAATTGTGACAGCTATCACAAACTGTTAATGGCAAAATTTAAGATCCATGTTAGATGACTGACAAAGGTGGTTCATTAGTTTCTGAATGAACAGTATACTGCCGAAGTCTAGACTTGCTTCACCAGCCCCTATCAAATAACATGCAGTCCCTTGCCAAAATGAAGATCGGACGGGCCTTAAAAAGGCGATTTTTAATGCAACTGTTATTTTCACTGACTGCAAGAGACGACAGCAGAAACAACATTTCCCTCGACTTGCTGGAACTATAGGGACAACAGAGGAAACGGAATAAGAAGTCGGGGAAATCTACCGAATACCGTGAAATTCATCGCCTAATGTTTATCTCGACAGGCAGACAAATCTCTGAATAGTCGATATGACAGCGTCGAACAGTGCTATCTAAAATGTCAGACCATTATATCGAGCCGTTAGCGCTTTCAGCAGGGGCTGAGTTCCATGTGTAATTATGTCTGCGATGGTTAACTTAAGGAAGAGCAAAGATCCTATGATTATCAGGTGGAGGAGTTGTACTAAGAGAATGTTCCCACTCGTTACTTCTGCCTAAAGACCTCGACCCACGACGTAACAGTTTCTTTGAATCACTAGCTATTCGAATTACTAGGCAGTATGCTTGTTCTCATGCTGGAAGGTACTGATATCAATAATATTTTACAGAATGCGAATTAAAGTTGAGATAGAAGTAGCTGAAGGTTGGGTAAGATGCAGGATCAACCAACAAAGATATGTGAAACCGTATCACAAACATCAGAATGATTAAGGCAAAGACAAGGAATTTGACAAGCCAAGTACTTCTGTGGATTGTGGGTTACACTAAAACTTTTGACTTTGTGAATCACGTGACACTGTTCAACAATGTTTATTATTGGGTTATCGTCGCACATATTTTAACCGTTGTAATACTTCTGTTGAAATCAACGATCTGTTGTATAATTGCGGCACACTTATTCCCTGCTAACAAATGGATGCGTCAGGATCGTGTCGCCAACCCAGTTTAATCTGCTTCATGAAGTCACGCCATCTGCGTTGGGATCTTATACCAGAAGTTTCATGATTGGAGGAAAGTCAGTCGCAGACCTGCGATATGCCAACATCGTCGTATTATTGTGATATCTCCAGCGTAGTTGCAACAACTAAAAAGAGTAATATTGCGAACAAAGTGCTTGGTCAATAATTCCACTGATGACGATTAAGGTGACGTAGCTTGGAAGTACATTCTAGTCAGAATTACACTAAACGACGTTAAGCTGCAACATGCAGCTATATTCTCATATCTTTGTTCCGTCGTGGATGAAAATGGTAATTGCAAGACTGTGATTCGCCAACATCTAAAAACGACAAGGCTTGCATAACAATTCTGATCAGAACATTACAAAGTTATCGCATTCAAAACCAAGCTAAGTAGTATCAGATCTCTGATCTGATCTGTCACAGCCTACGGATGTGATAGTTAAGCCATCGAGGAAACAGCACATAAGTCCGTTGAAGCGTTCGAGATATAGCGTTACAGACGACCATTGCGAATCGATTGGGAGACTTCGAAAACAGCGATGGGTTTTAAAGCATTTGGGCACTCAGCGTTCCCTTTTTACGGAAATATAGGTGCGAAAACTGCAATAATTCCGATATTTAATCAGAAGGAACGGTGACTGCCGGGAGAAAATGTTATTGCAGGGCTGTTTTACAGGGAGGATCGACGCTGCTCTGGGCGTGACATCATGCAATAATCAGCGCTTAACATCATTCAAGCAATGTGAATCGTACAAGTGAATGCTAATGTGTAAAATTGCACATGATGTCGTCGGCCCACTGTGTAGAGGCGACACTACTGTTTTACATTATATTTTGCAGGTGTATCTGTACTGACTTCTGTTGGCCGAAAATTTACACTCAGAAGGAATGAATCCACTAATCGTCTTTCTCACCGTTTTTTAGAATTAATTATGTTATTTAATGAGGTTGATTTTTATGAACATTTTAGAGAATACTGAACTGCTCTAAATTGGGTTCCGTGTTTCGGTCTGTTAGAGGTCGAGTGACGAACCTCGTTTTAAGCCCCAATGAATCGTTGGTTTTATGCTCGGTAAGTTTGGCGACATCCGGTTCATTTTGCCGTGTATTTCA